TCGAAGTGTGCAGCCTTCCCCGCAATTACCCGATCTCTTGCACGGCGACCGACACACGCACGCACTCGCTCGCTTGGAGAGTCGCGCAGAAAGCCACACTCGTGTAGTACACGATCGCAACCCTGCGATACATGCCGCATTGCGACGACGCCATTTTAGCTATTTACGTATAGTTTTATATAACGCACACGAGATGTGCGCAGTCTCTGCACGGTGTGCATGCGCTGCATATACGTACGTATACAGATATAGAGACTCTGCACTCGCGGAAAATAATGAGGTAGAGGACGGGCGCGTATATATACGTACAGCTTTTCGTTCGGCATTTCTTTTTGCCTTCCGAGGAAGAAAAAAGACTGGAAATATGGCCCTACGGCTTGTCACTACCTGCAGTACAGAGAGAGAGCCTGCACACGCATATTACCGAGGATAATTTTTGCCTCGCGTCGTTGCGGCTATGTAATACGCAACATATAATACAGCTCCGAGGTTTTGAATTACATTCGCGAGCCGAGAGAGAGAGAGCCGCGAGTGAGCTGCGAGCAAGTTGTGCGAGCACGGCTGCGAGTAGTAGGTATACGTACGCGAGAGAAGGAGAAAGAAAAAGGACGAAGGTAAAAGCGAGATTTAAATTTATTCGCCTTTTTGAAAATTGCGGCCGCGGAGAGGAGAGCTCAGCACTCCGGAGAGCGCCGAGGAAAAAAAGAAAGCCAACTGCACGCCGACAGCAGTCACGAAGTGTACATAATATTATCGATTACGAAATGATAATTCATCGGAACGATCTATTCTCACGCATGCCTGGGCGAAGCCGCGGCGCGCGGTGCGGTACGTGCAGTCGCACTGCAAACTGCAGCGCGCGTGCACTCGTCTTTTCTTTCACACGCGCCGCGAGAGCAGCGTATCGATACTCGGAAAAACGAGCTCAGTCGTCCCATCGTAGTCGATCGTCGCGTCGCAATCGTCATTATTAACGATAGCTCGAATCGATTTTGAGGATGAAAATATAAAAAAGAGATAAATAAAGGACGTAGTCTCGAAAAGAGTTGAATTCTCGAAATGTTCACTCAAGGATATGCGTTCAAATTCAGTAGGAATATAATGCATAGGTCGAGGCGCGCGATACATTGTTCCAAGCCTGAGGTCGACTGAGCCTCGAGTGTCTGCTGTGTGTCGTGTAAGCAAGCAAGCGTGGAACATTCGACGTTCGACGTGTCGGAGACCAAGCCCATCCTCTTCGGCTCTCGGTCTCTTTCTTTCCTTTCTCTACGTAGGATATGTCATAATTGCAAGGTTTCCTTCTGCAGAGACACTATTCTCTACAGATGTATGCATCCGTCCCTACGTATGTATGGATGCACTACCTACACGCGAATGTATGTGGGAGAAAAATCGCTACGCTCCGTGAGGCATCGGAACTTTTATCCACCTTAGCTCTTTCTCAGCTCTTTTTTTCGACTTTAGAATTATTATTAATAAAATATTATTCATAGTTAAACGATTAAGGTTGATTAGAGAAATCAATTATGTATTTGTTCAATAATATACAGTACCTTAGAGTTGTTATGATTATATTACTTTGTCTAGCTTTCTATTACACGATTTGTAAATATTATCGAATTCAGTTCATATTAGTAGATTTAACATTATTACAGAAAAATTAGTCGTTGAACAGATTCGAAGTTAATATTGGAAGTTAATATTTTCAACGGAAGTGTTAAGTGACTTTCATTTTACGAAAAAACGTATAAAAATATAATAAAGCGTGATACTCAATCTCATTTGATTTATTTCAGAGTCAAAAAAGAACCGTGCGATGAGCCACTCAATGAAAATGATTATAATATTATTGATGAGACGTCCTACGTTAATAATGTTCGATTTTTCAGAGAATATTCAGTAAGCAATCAGAAACGATTCATATATAGTAAACATTTTCAACCAAGATTTCACAAAATTCAATATTTTATTACAGACATTTCAAAGATGTAACGAACATCAAAAAACTGAACTTGACGAAATGAAAATTGAACTTGAGTGTAAAGACGTAAAGCACAATATGAATTTATTTAAAGTTGAAAAAATTGACGGTCATTCTGCAAATTATTTGCAGCATTTTAAATATAGTGATGACTATAAAACTAAAAACACAATTAAACTAGAAACTGAGGACAAAATGAAAACAGAAATGAATATGAGTTTCGATTGCGAAGTCGGAGAAAATAATAAAAAGAGAAGAAATACAAAAAAGTTTAATTATATAAATAGGCTCAAAAAACACATTGGTACGGTGCATACTGGTATCACATACGAATGCAATATGTGCGAAAAGACGTTTAAATACAAGTGCAGTTTGAATAGGCATGTTGAATCAAGGCATGATAGTGTTACGTATACATGCGATACGTGCAATAAGTCATACACTCAAAAAGAGCATCTCAAAATTCACATTAATGGAGTGCATAATGGTATTAAACATGCATGTCCTATTTGCGGAAAGAAATTTGCGAAGAAAAAACTTCTCAAACGCCACATCGACTCGATGCCTAATAGTACTAAACGTAAATGTGATAAATGCCAAAAGACGTTTAAACAAAAAAGTAATCTTCTAGTTCACATAGATGCTGTGCACAATTGTATCACTCACGTGTGATTTCTGTGGAAAAACATATAAATATCGGGCTGATCTTATTAAGCATGTCAAATCGTTGCATAATGGTACTCATACATGCAAGATATGCGGAAAGATATTTGGACAAAAAATAAATCTTAAAGCCCACAAAGCTATGATACATCTCTCACGGACTCAATTTATGTACAAAATCTAAGTTAAATTATGTCAAAAACTTTAATGTAACATCCAGTGTATTTGTTCAGAAGACGAATTTAAAAATGTTCACTTATTACGATATTAGGAATTCTTTCTACAACATATTCTTTTGATACGTACAACAACATCCAAATTTGAAAAAAAACAATGAATTTTTTACAGAAGAAGAACCTTAACGCTAGTTTTAATCAATCTAAATATTATAAGGCTTTTGCGCTATAATTTATACGAATTGTTGAATAAACATTTTTCGGATTAATCTTGGCTTTTGTAGGATAAGTAAATCAGTATCTATGAAATTAAATTTGGAGAATCAAACTTCATCGAACGAGTTTTGATATACATATTGAAATAAAGGAATAATTAATAATAGCTGCCGAGCAATGCAAAATTACACGTGCTTACTGAGCAAATTTAATACAAGAGTTTGCAATCGAAAAAAAGGTAATAACAAAAAAATGTGTGTACGTACGCAGGCGGGCAGCAGCATTTTTTGTTGCATAGTTGACGATAAGTTTTCTCTTACTCGTGTATAATCAGAATATAATCTGATTATATAGCTCATTCCACCTGTTATCAAGTTTCGTTCGTGAGTGCAGGCGCGGAAGGCAAGGGTGTACATTATCCACGTATAATACATACCATAAAAAAAGTGCTGCTGCTCGCCTCTGCCCGTGTATATTCATGTGAGCACGCCTGCATACACCGAGAAATACTTCGGATGCACGCGGAAAGCGAAAAAAAAAGAGATTAAAATGTTCTAAGCGATTATTGTGTTAGCTTTATTTTGTCCTTTTAATTGCAATTGTGTACGCGGGCGAGAATTTACAATGGGAAAGAGAGGCCGAGAGAAGGAGCAGGAGAAGGAGCGAGGGCGCGAGAGAGCAGAGGTATGCGCTCCGCTCGATTGTGGGTCCGTTGCCGAACGTGTGATTTAGAAATTGCGCCGACGATTGTTTCCAACAGATAAAATCGCTCTCATTTGTCAAGGCGAACCGTCGTCGTCGTCGTCGTCGTATTGCACATAGCTCGAAGGAGGAGCGCATTATATCTTGCTCCGTAAATACGAGAACGAACGCATGAATACTGATATCACTCAGATTTGATAGTTTTAATTTTATCGATCGCTTGTACTGCCAAAAAATGAACGACTCATTTTGTCCTCGGCTTTTCCGACAAATACGTTCTCAGATTGATGAGCGCGTGTCTATACCTCGAAGCTGCAGTAAGACCATAGCCGTCCGATTCATTATCTCTTAATTGTTATACCCTAAGACAAATCACTACTTTGCCTACGAAATTTTGGATATTATTAAAAAGACGGATGTAATAGGGGAAAAAAATCCAGGTTGAATCAGTAGTATTCAAAGTACAGAGAATGCTCACGTATAAGACTGACAAGAACGTAGGCAGAAAAACTGTAATAGGCATAAGAAAAAACGCGTCTTACCGAATGAAAATGGGTAGGCTATACAGAAAAAACTCAATATATGATATTACGTTAAAAGGCACAGAATACGGGATGATACCGGCCTTCAAAATTTACTTTGAAAATTATTTTAAACTGTACTTTCACACATTCAATTTACTCAACATTAGAATATCAGCACGTTATTACAAATTATAGCTTACTTACTCCAAGAGCAGGATGGATCTATTAAATAAAGAATAGGAGCTATATTTCTATCTGCTTATAGCAAAAGAATGTATACTCTCTACTTTTGAGATCATTAAGACTGGGTTAATTGTAACTAATGGAAAACATTTGAAACATAGATTTAAACAGTTGTCCCAAATGCAAATGTGTCAAAAATATTTTTGAATAAAATTTTTTGATAAACTTATTAAATATGATGGCATTGTGTAAAATCGCAGAGTGAACACGAAATATAGAGCTCAAAATATAGAGGGGCTCTTTTCTCTCTTTGCTCTCTCCCTTCTTTCTCTCTTTCTACAGAGACGCGTGGTTATGCAGTTGCCGTACTCACGAGCACGCCAAGTCACTGGACTTTTTTCTTAGGCTCGATCCACATTCCGTGTCGACTGCATGCAGAAATTTTCATAAAAAAATCACGAATGAAATGATGCAAACATCTTTGGAAACTTAAATTTATATTCGTCACGTGGTGTTTAGGTTCAGACGGTAGTATTATGAAATAAATGTCTTGAATGGCACTTTAAAAAATATACTATTTATTTTTAAAATTCTACACCATTCGCCTCAACAACTCGTTGATCTTTTCTTCACGATTGCCGAAGTCACCTCCTTCGACATAGTTGTTGGTCTTCTTGCGCCATCCACCAGTAGGGGTGTTGAGCTAGAAATTAATTAAGCATTGATTATTAAAAGTTTAGAATTTTAATTATTAGAAAATCTAGTTATATTTGACTAAGAAAAATTAAAATGTGCAAGAATTACTTGTTTCACAACTTAAAAAGCAGATGTGAAGTAATGGGTTCTCAAATTAATCTTTGACATTGTAGGAAGTAACAAAAAAATAGATTTTTAGCTACTATGCCAATGTCAATAATTCATTTAGACTGATAATATTCAAGATATATTTAATTTAACAGAAAATGTGCCCTAATTTACCTTGAATGGCCACAAGAAGTTGCTGGCGTACTTGAACTTGTCACCAACAGTGAAGATTTCATGAATTAAATCTTCAGTGCAAATGATGTTTTTATTGCTCAGACCTTTGGCAATAATACCATTGCTGGTGATTGGGATTCTTTGCTTGTTGATCTTAGCAAATCCACGCTTGTAAACAAGCTCTTTCACGCTCTTGAGATTAGGATAGCCCCATGTAACGTATGGCTCAATGATTCTGAGCATATTGGTGGTAGCTTTGTTCAATTTAATGAACACGCCATTGTTAATTTGCTTCAAACGGAAAAGCTTGAGGATCTTACGTGGCTTAGGTGCAATCTGATTCACACTGTAAAAAATATTAATCATCAATGACTTTGAAGAGTTTTTAATCAAGGAGGGAGTATGGAATCAAACTTACCCACGAATCCTGATGACGAAAGCCAACCTAGCTTCGCTTGGAATATAGTAGTTGCCGAACTTCTTGGCCATACGAATATTCCTGATCTCCTCTCGCTCCTTAATTCTGTACTCTTTTGAGTATTGTTCGGCCCTCTTGAAGATCTCCTGCCTCTTTTCATGATATCTTGTCTTATTCTGAAATGTCAATTACAATTGTTTATAAAATCTATTTTGCTAGTAAAATTATTACTTATAACTAATTTGAAAATGTATTCACCTTGATAGAGGTCTGAAGACGTGCTGCCTTGGCAACATCACGGCGCTTTCTTCTTTTCAGCACCGATTCTGGTACTGCAGGCAATACCTTGCCCTCAGGCTTGACTTCTTTTACGTCGCTAATTATTCAAAAAACAAATCATTAATAAATTTATAAGAACTGGAGACTTTTTTCATTAATCATAGATTGATTGTTGCAAAAACGTATCTGACCATAAGCCGACATTTTTTTAGGTTAAAAAACCGAGTACTGAATAGGTAATAATAGAAATGATAATGGTTAAATTGGCACATTTTTATGGCTCAAGCGAAGCACAATTTATTACGTAAATAAAACACTTCTTGCAACAATCGGTTCTACGTTAATATTTAATAATAAAAGTATTTCACATAGAGATACTCACGTGGCCGTCATATTGCAGCAGCGTAAAGAACTCGAAAGTCGTATGGTTAGAACACACGCACAGAACACGGCACAGTTATCGTAAGGCGCGCAACGCGTTTACGACGGTCAAACTGTAAGCTGCGACCGTCACTCGCAATTTCGGTTTGTAATGCATTAGCGCGGGCCCCGGAATTTGCCTACAAGAGTCAAAACTGTTAGTTTTCAGGTTCAACTATCGGCGCTGTCAACTGAGGTGGGGTTTAGACCGCGAATTTCGTAAATTGAACGAGTGCACCTAGGTACTACTATTGATTCAATCCAGATTATTTGTTCAAATTTTTGGGGCATGTTTTTCGTCGACATGATTAAACTAGACATTAGAAAACAATTTGTTCCATTTGCTGTAGAATTAATTCTGCACTACACTTAACACAGCAACCATTTTAAGTTAAATAATTATATTAATGGAATGGTAAAATTTAAATAGGTATCATTCATATTAAAAAAAAAAAAAATTAGAATACAATCAAATGTCCTTTAAGCGGATACAATAATAAAGTAAAAAATCTGCGTACAATCGCATCTTACACATTTGAATGGAGGGTAAATAAAGATATTTATTATCTACTAAATTGTTACTGGATTTTAAGCTTCAGACTCGAATTGGCATATACAAATTCACAAGCGCACTCGGGGGGTACCGAGGCTATACAAGCATTTCTCGGCTGCGCATCGTATAAATATGGCACCGTTAAGAGCGCGCCCAGCATCGGCCGCGCGATGATAAAAAGACGAGAGTCGCGAGCGCGGCTTTTAATACGTGGAAAGTAAGTCTATATGCTGCATGGGAATCCTCGTAATGACCGCTATGTCACTCTTGTGTTGTCGCTGCGTCGCATACGCACACGCACGAGCGCGTGCGCGCGTACAAAAGTGATTTCTTTTGGGCCCGGTGCAGGACGATCTCTTGGCGACGCGGCGATCTTTGCTTCGACGAGAGAGAGGGAGAGAGAGAGATTACGGATTGTCTTTGCGCACATATAATACATCTTCCTATATAAAAGTCGCTCGCGAGCTCGTACGTGACGTACGCCGAGTGATTTTGACGAGCGCGACCTACCGCCTTTTATCTCGCGAAGACGGCCGACTGCAGCAGTGCCTAGTGGCGGCGAGTGCAGCACATAAGCGAGCGCATTTGCGGCTGATCTCGATGCGTCTCTCTCTCTCTGTCTCTCGATCCACAGCTGTTGTATCGTAGCTCGTTTAATTGAATTATTACTCGAGGCTTCGACTGTTCGACTCGCGAGTTTATATATATGGAGCTACGCGCGTCGCAGTACTCGTATAACATATCATGTAGTGCGTATATTTCGATACATATACAGGATTGCAGTCGGCACGACTCTATAGGCTTAACGGCTCGTTCCGCTTATTAACCCATTAACGACCAAAATGCTTGATTTTTTTGTTGGTTTTCGCAGCGATTTTTTTTGTAGTTTTAGACCTTAAAAAAATTTCGCAGGGACCTATTTCGATGTAAAATTTAATGCCCTTTCAGAAACTGAGCGCAAAATTTTGATTTTTTGCGTAATAAAAAAGTTATAGCTACTTAAACAAAAAAACCGTAAAAATTTTTGCAAAAAATCAAGTTTTCGATTTTATTTCGCCATGTTACCGGTAAGGAATCACGATATAAATATGATCAGGGGTGATCACGACTATCAAAGTATCTCAGAGATTTTTTGTGGAATTTTTGAACCACTTTTCAAATCTTCGTTTTGTGCCCTTTTTCTCTAAATTCAATAGTTTTCGAGTAAAAATGAGTCATGTTTTATATGAATATGAGTTATTTTTTGTTTGAAGTAATGGTTCGAAAATTCCATAAAAATTCTCTGAGATACTTTGATAGTCGTGATCACCCCTGATCATATTTATATCGTGATTCCTTACCGGTAACATGGCGAAATAAAATCGAAAACTTGATTTTTTGCAAAAATTTTTACGTTTTTTTTGTTTAAGTAGCTATAACTTTTTTATTACGCAAAAAATCAAAATTTTGCGCTCAGTTTCTGAAAGGGCATTAAATTTTACATCGAAATAGGTCCCTGCGAAATTTTTTTAAGGTCTAAAACTACAAAAAAAATCGCTGCGAAAACCAACAAAAAAATCAAGCATTTTGGTCGTTAATGGGTTAAATAAGCTCCTTCGCGGATCCCACGGAAGAAGCGAAGCTACATGCGCAGACCACAGCGTACATTATAATGGTCACTGGCGTTGAAAATGCGTTATGTGTGTGTGTATGTGGATATGCGCAGGTATATTTCGTCACGTTTCCGCGCTGCTTTTTCCGCTAGCGCGGGCAGCTTTGTTCGAACTCGTTACACGGCCGAGAGTACTTTTATTTTCCAGCCTCGCGGACATGCGATACATAATGGCACGACAATATACGCGATCATACGCTATTGCGAAACTTTTGCGTGAGCTGCGCGCACACGAGCTAAAAAGTTTCGATTCCAAATTCTAACTCTCTGCTCCGTGCTTGCGTATGTGCGTGTGCAGCTATACTATACTAGCTTTATACACGAGGATCGAGGAACTATATACGTACATGTGCGGCGCGTAACAGATATAGGTATATTTAAAGAGTAAGCGAAGCTCGCGCGGAAACCCGACGAAACGTGCAATTGAACGGCGAGCGAACCACTGCGCGCGTGATTACCGTCATCAAGAGACAGAGTTAGAGAGAGAGAGAGAGAGAGAGAGACCTCCAAGTTCAAATACCGGTGTAAACGGCTTCTCACTTTCGCGCGGCTCCGAGAGCTGCATACGCGATCCCATCCCGCACGTCCGATCCCGATATCAACGTAAGCGCCGCTGCAGCGATCGTCTTCCTCTCGAGAGTCGAACTCGTCGTCCAAGTCGTCTATTATCATCCGGTACGCTCGAATTATCCTAATTTTAATACGGCTTCGCAGCCGCCTGCAACGGAGCTGTAAATATAACGAGATAGTTGCGATTGTGCTTTCCCTTTGACGACTCGCTAAAAGACTATCAACAGTTTTATTGGGTGTTTTCTCGTTTTGCGATCGTTACCCGCGGCAGCGCTCGGCCGCGTGCGGCTGTTATTATCACGGGCTTGCGGTGAACGATACAGAAGTCAACGTCAACGTAATAGCTGCTCTACTCGAGACGCGTAAAATTGATGCTATCCATAATCCTAATGATGGCTCGCGAGCAAATTTTTATCGTTCTTTTATGGCTCGTTGAGCTCGAGCCACTAGCCACGGGCACCGCGTGGGTGGCTATCTGGGATAAATGCTTTTTCTAGCTTAAGATTCGATTTTAATCGATCCAAAGTTCGGCGCGATTGGAATTGGATACGTGGTAGTGGTAGTGCGAGCGACATCCATAGGATAAAATTTAAAAGCTCGAGATGGGGCGATCCGAAGTCGACGAGCCGCGTGCGACTGCTGCTGCCATCTTTCCGTCCAACGACGTACTAGCGGATAGCCGTACTTTATCCGCACTGCACCCGACCGAGATATCTACTTGACCTTTCACGCACACTTCGTAATTTCGAGGATCGATTATTCTAACGCTCGGGAGAAAGAAAACTACGATGAATAGAACTACGCTTACAGGTTCGAACTCCGAACTCAGCTCGTGTATTTATCTCGGTAATGCTGCATGATTGTCGTAAATGTTTTTAAACGCTCGAGATCGTGTGAAGAAAAAAATTATTATATTCATGAATAAACGTTGTGCGATTTTTCTCACTGAAAAATGAGAGAGAGAGAGAGAGAATTGATGAATGCATTACGCATCTCCTCGAGCGAACAGCGCGTAATAATGCGAAGTAGATCATTGGCAAATTGCAGAAAGGCATAAAGAAAAAATAACCCTTGCATACACGCGTATAAGAAAAAGCGAGCACGTGTAATTGTTCGAACGCTTTGGCGCGTTAATATAAACATGCGAACGTTTGGCTAGATTGCCCCGAGAGATAGCGAGGAAATTTCATTAACATAAATTAATAACGGCTCCGAGAACAGAGCTTATTGTAAAAGCGCGATTTTTTTCAACGGTAAATCGAACCAGCGGTGAAAGAATCGCGTGCGTACGACATTACACCGTAGGTACACACAGATATAGCGTATAATTGCTCGTTAATTTCAGGTAAACTGTGAGCAATAACGATCATCCGTCGTCGGTTCGAGTGCAACAATGCTCGCCGATCACAACGCGGGCATGAAGGTCAACGCGCGCGCACACGTTCACTCGAGACTGCATGAAGGGTCGATCCGAATCGCCACCGCCGCCGCCATATTATATATTACGAGCCCATCAACGCCATAAATCCTGCGTAGGATGCACCCAGGCTCCGAATAAGAAAATCGTTAATCGCCGCCTTCGCAGGCAGCTCGGCTGTAATTCGCTTTGGATATACTCTCGGCCCGCACCACCTATATGAACGTCCAAGGAGATTCCCAATTATCATTAATCGATATGGTATATACGCGGACGCGTGGCTTTGATTTTGTCGCGATTAAAAAATTCGAGCGCAAAAAACGGCCCGCAAAAAACGACCGATTCTCAACTTGTCTACAACGCTCAATTAGCCGGGCGATCCTTAATGATAGCGCCCGTGCACGAGCGCGGCTAATAATTTATTCGTTATAATTATTCGTGCGCTTTGGCGCGCTTAAACACGTATTATTTATCTTTGGGGTATACGCCACCTCGACGCGTCCATCATCGCTCGATCGCGCGTCCACTTGGACGTGAAATATGGCCTCTCACTCCCTCGGGATGCTAATTGAAATATTAACTCTGTGCACGAGTCTGTGTATATGTGTATCAAATTACACGATAATGACGATGATTATGATTTGGCCTAATTTCCTATGAGTGTCGGTCATTATACCGATATGGCCAATGAGGATCGTTTGCGCACGCGTCTCTATATGTGTGTGCCATGTATAGAGTAACTACAACCCTTTGTATTACATAAATTTTCTTCTCTCCTTCTATACTTATCTCTCGGCTAAATGATTTGGCTTTTTCTTTTCGAGCCACGACGAGCATGAGGATGATGATGACGATGATGATGATGAGGTGTCGTTAATAAAATGAACATTACTATATAAACGCGAGTATAGGCCAGTAGTGCTCGCCACTCGTGTAATAAAGTATTATTTTAAATAATACATATTATTTGCGCTCCGGCCGACGCGGCCACGCGCACTCCTCAAATCAAGGCATTTTAAAATCAATCCTCGATACGCGCTCGCTACGCCGCGATTTTTACCCTTTTAAAATCGTAAAAAATTTTTTTTTTGCTCCTTGCGTAACGCAGCAACGCACGTATACGGGCACTTTTTTCTGCCACTTTGAATAAAAATAATAAAGTATGAAAAAAGGCGCGCAGCTCTCTCGAAGCAGCCTCGGTGAATTATCGCGCGGGTATATTACATGTGTACGCACGAATATTGTCTGTTAGTTCCGAGAAAACGCATATATGCACGTGTGCACGCGGGCCAGAGCAGTATGTGCGTTGTATAGAACATGCACAACTGCGCGACTATTCGCGAGCCAACTCGATGTGCTCGCACACACACACACAGACACACAGGTACTCGCTTGCTGCACGTATAGCCGAGTTTGTGTGTGCATTATAAGGAAGAAGAGCTCTTGACTCGAGTGTGTACGCGCGCAAACCTATACTTACCGTCGGCTTATACTACTTCGAAAGAGAGATAATATTTTCTCTCTCTGTGCCAAGCGAGCCGTAATCTTTTTGCGATTCCAGCCCGTGTACGTATATATACGTTTTCATATGTATATATAGCGTGTATGTATCGCGTACAACAACTATACACGTGTACAGCGTGTACGCGCTCGTGGAAGTACATTTTTTTTTTTTTTCATATAGCTTGAGAATGCGCCAGATGAGATTTTATAAGATTGATAAGGATAAAGACAGAGAGAGAGAAAGAGAGAAGGACGCATGTGTGGGCTTATGATTTTTCAATGCTCCGCGCGATCGCTGGAATGCAGCCAGCAGCAGCAGCACGAGGGCTTGGTTCGCATGCGATCCGCGCTTTGTCTGCGGCAATTTTTCCCGGAGAAATCGTACCATTCGATGGAATATATTTATCAAAAAAACCGAAGGATAATTACTTCGGACCGTCGAGACGTCGTCCCGCGTGCAGCGCGCCCGGAGAGATAGAGAGAGAGCAAACACGTCGAAAGAAAGGAGCGCGATGTATAATATATAGTATACACGCATTCACGTACGGTCGCGTGGGTGGCACATATCGAGACTCTCTCAACCAATGGGAATTCGAAAGTTTGCGCCGCGCGCTCGCCTCGGCCCCGCGCTCATATTGCTCATACATATCTCTCTCGGTCTCGCGAGCCTGCATACGTGGGTGTGGACCACTGCAGGCGCGATGCTGCCTGCATCTCTCTGTCTTTGCCTCTCGCTCAAGATGGACGCCTTCCGCGTCTCGGAGGATCACGCCTTTTTTTTTCCTCTAACCGGACAGCTCGGGTTGCTTTTCTTTCTCTTTCGACGATTGATATAAATATTCACAAGTTTGCTGAATAATTCATACGCAAATACGCGAGCGTAAGCAACACTTATCCTTCAAAGCTCATTTTTATCGTATTAAAGTCTCTCGAGCGAGCGAGCAAAAACCTATACATACGCTTCTCCACCGTGCATTTCCATCGATTTGAGGAGCTCGCGAGCGTATAGAGCGAGGAAAAAAATACATTTTTTTTCGCACAATGTTTACCGAGCGTGTATATATATAAATGATGAATTCCCAGGCCGAAGGACTCTCGGCTCTTCGGCTGCCTTACTCGAGAGTGAGAGAGAGAGAGAGAGAGAGTCTGCAAAGCGCCGCCATGTCAGACTTATACCTGGAAACAATTATGCGCCTGGGGATACGTAATAACAAACTGTTCTCTTCTCTGCAACGCGATGCACGTCGTACTATGGTCGCATCACACACATTTATCCATATAGATATATGTATACGAGCTGGACTAACATCTCGTTCATGTATACGTATATATTCGCGTATATATGTACGCACACATTGTACGTATAAGCCAACACCAGCACACATGCACATGGCATCGGTTAAAAGATAAAGATGAATAGCCTCGTAAATCTATATTGCCTATGCACTTTGTACGCGTTGCCATCGCAGTTTCATTTTATTTTATTTTTTTTTCTTCTGCTTTTTGCTTTGCAACAACAACTGACGCTCGGCACCGAGAGAAAATATATAATATTTTGTAGCAGCTTGTAGATTATTGGCCGATGTGTGCTGCCTTCTTTTTTATTCATAATTTATATAGGCGACCTCGACCCGAGATTTATTGCAAATTGCGTAGGTGGCGTGAGGATAGCGATGCACCGGCAATAAAAAGAGCAAACACGAAAAAAAAGGGGGAAAAAAAGGAATCACACTACTATACTTGGTCAGATACAGCCAACAGTAATATTTTTGATTCAATGTACTCTTGCAAAGCCAAAAATATTGAAACATTTCCAGATGTTAAAATATCTTTATTATATTACAAGATGACCAATAGATGGCGTACATGATATAATTTGTTTCCTATACATAAGTTGTAAACAGAATACATTAAATCAGGCCAAATTTAGCGAACATTTCATCTGGTTCTTTCAACTAATCTCAACCCATACCCTTAGTATGGGGTCGTGATTAGGAGAAGGTTCTGACCGTCCCGTTTTGGCATAGTTGCGCGCTTTGCCAGTGAGCATCACTGCCAACGACGGGACAAAAAAAAAAAAAAAATACTACACCATATATATCTGTGGTGGAAAGGCATAACGACTTAAGTCCATTTTTTTGAAAATCGATTTTATGATGAAAAACGTCTATATTTAGTGTCTATTTTAATGTACAAGGGTCAGAATAGACGAATAGAGCGTCTAGCGTTAGTTGCAGCATCGTGCATAACGACTCAAGTCCATTTCGCGAAGACTGGGGAAAGGCAAAACGACTTAAGTCCACCCTTGCGAGTTTCAAAATGCTATAGAGAGTCTAATTTTATTTGAAAATGAAAAAAAATGATATTATTATAGCGCCACACTCTTCGAATGTTGTGAATTACACTATATAATTGTTACATTTGATACGCGAGGGGCCATTTTCTCGATTTTCAGTTTGGCCTTTTTTCGTTGCAAGATTTGAGATCTGACGGCAGTATAACGTTAAATGAGCTATCTTATCAATGTAAAATCATTAAATGAGGTTGCGCGAACAAACTGCGCGAAATTATCGATATTGAAAAAAGTGTGACCGCCAAAAGTGGACTTAAGTGCAAACCGTGGAAAGACAAAACGACTTAAGTCCATATTTTTTGCTCCCTATCATCGCTATGATGGGCCTTTCAATTTCATAAGTACATAGTTGAAAAGCTACCTCATAGTAGCTTAAAACATCATAGGTTCAGACCTCAACTCGTCCGCGTCTAGTTAGGCTGGCACAATCAACTTAAAACGCGTTTTTCTCGAAAACACGAAAAATGGACTTAAGTCGTTATGCCTTTCCACCACAGATATACACGATGAACTAACATCTTGTAAACGACGTGTTTACAAATTGGCCCGATCCATATTTAATAAAGGAAAATGACGTGGCCAAGCGTGAAAAAGGAAACTATCGAGCGTATCTCTGTATGTGCTCTGTTCTCGAAAATGATTGCAAAATACCGCTTAATTGTACCAGAGGGAGGACATGCACAAGCGCGTGAAAATTAGAGCCTATTACATTTTGCCTAACTGCCTTGCACATATATGTACTTGGCTACCGTCTTTGCGTTTGTTATTTACTACAATATTATGGCATGTCGCGTCAAATTTTTTAATGATAATATTCATTTCGTATCTGTAGAAAAATGAATTACACGAATTATGAATAATGTCGATCGTTCGAAAGCTTGAAAAAGTTCAAGTCCCCGTATCTATCTAAACGTAAAAATAATCCTTAAATTATATACATTATTATAACAAAATGAAAATTTTGTAATAACTTTACAGTCATTCGATATGAGAGCGTCAACAATGGCAAAATATTCCCTTTCTTCGATCTCTGAATCTCTGTATACACTTGCGTCGTGAGCTAAATTTAACTTTCTGGACCGAAAATTAGTTACTCTTATTTTGACAGTAACGTCGATCCGACGTCTCAAATAATTTTCGCTCAGCACGAGAAAGCACTGAAAGTAGTGCTCATTAACAAAAGTCGTAAAAGTTCGACTGCGTAAGTGACAATAATCTATTTTAACAATGACGAATAGACATGAAACATCTTTGAACAATTCATTCACTAGTGAAGACTCTTGTCATCCCGACACAAAGCCCAAAGTAAGTGAATAAGTGAATGAACTTTTTGACTAAATTATCCTACGTTAACAATTAATTAATTAAATTGTATATCTGATTGTTTTAGAAGCGAAATGGTCACGCGGAAGCAGCGAGCGAACCTGAGGACGAAGAGGCGCCAGCTGAGTCCGATAACGACGAAGACATTGATTGTCGGCGTTGCCTAATAAGCTGTTTATTCGATTCTCGTTTTTGGGCATACTTGTTAGTAACGATCGCAGGTGTCGTATTAATAATCCTCTACCATATATTTTACACGAAATATCAATGTCCCACCAGAAACCCCTATGGTATCTCAAATTAATAAAGCTTATGTCCACTTTCAATAAATAATCTAAAGTGTCAATAGTTATTTTACCTTCCTTTTCCAATAATTCCAATTGGATCATTTTGTATTATCAATAAACATTTGTTTTTCACATCAGAATTTCGCTCATCGCTGTGACTAATAGATATTAACAATAGACTGAATATTGGAACGTTGTTTACCTTACCAACGAATTGACTTAATTTGCTAACGTAAATCAATTAGCTTGGAAAAATTTGTTCGATTTTAAAATAACAATAGTCACTTTATAATAAAGCTATTCTGCGAACAAAGTCACACATGAAGTACATAAAAACACTAAAAAAATAAACTGACAGAGAGATTGACTCTACTTGGAGTGGAGTCGGTCGATCCACGAGCAAGCGAGCACCGATCGGTAATAAGCCAATAAATCAGAGTATACATCTCTTCGGTGCAATTACGTCCATAGTGTATAGACGAACGTGAAAAAAATGTGTATGTGTCTAGAACCTGGGCAACCTTTCTCCCTTCTCGTAAATATATCGTCTAAGTTACATTCTTCTTATTTTAAATTGATCCCACGACCTGTATATTATATATCTCGATGTCTTGCAAGGCACTGAAGAAAAAAAAGCAATACGGAGATCGCGTACGTATGAGCATACGTATACGAATCTCGCGAATACAGGGTTGTTGCCGATCTCTTTTGCCTTCTTCGTCTTTTTCTTAGGCTATATCTCACTACCCCCTTCGGTCCCTCTCTCTCTCTCTCTCCCTATCTTTAGCTTACAACTGCACTTGAACACATCATGGGAACGAGAATAACAGGTGATTTAATTGCTACCGTGAGCAATCTGTTAATTCGAGAGTGTCAGCCTGAGAAAGTGGGCGAATGCATACATACGAACCAATACACAAACACTTACATGCACATACAAGAGCAGCGCGCGCAATTATTATTTTCTTTCTTTTTCTCCAAAGTTTATATGGCACAGGGCGCGAAAGACTAAATTGCACCGTGTATACCAGAGAACGAAGCTTGACCAGAAAGAAAGTCGTATAATTTTGTTCGCTTCTTTTTATGTATGTGTGCGAGATTTTACTTATGTCAGATTTTTTGTTATTTACTTTTAAGCGCATACGTAGAGTCAGGATTGGAAGAAAGGATAGAATATGGCTGTTGGCTCATATTTTAGTTATAATCATCTCCCTTTTCGTTTCAGTAAAATAGGTAGATAAGAGATCTTATTACATAGAAGTTGTTTAATTTTTTCTGTTACTTTTTGTATTTGGAATAATATGAAATTTTACGACTTGCAATTTGAGAAATTCTTATACTGTGGACGGTGACAATTTCAATTAAGCGCCGTTCAAGAAATCTATAATTGTGAAAAATGATCCGATCGCAATTCAAAATCATGTATACTAAAAGCGGCATAAGAGTTTAATGTAATCCTTGATCATTCAAGTCTTACAATTATCAAATTATGTAGCCATCATAAATAAATCATTTTGTATTAAAAATACTAGTTTTGTTTAACTGGTTTTATTAGAAAACAAAGTAATGAATTTTCAACTGGAATTGTTGTATTTAATTACACGTGAAATTTCAAATTAAAAAATTTAAATGTTTTTTAAACGCAAACATTTCAATGCCCTGAACTCGACTGTCGTTAGAATTTTAGGGCTTTGACATGTGTAAGCAGTGTATTTGATTATTCAATCGAGTTTAATAATTAGCAAATAAGTTCGATTTTTTATCAATGACTACTAGCCAAAGATCACTCGGTTTATTATAGCGACGATTTACCAACGTGGTGGATAACTTTTTAAAAAACATTAAAATATTTCAAACAGTTATTCATTTCGTAGAAAATTTCTTTATAGACGAATAAAAATATCAATAAAGTTTCGTCTTCAATTTGTTTTTTAAATTTTAGCTGTTACCTACAACTTTTATGCATATAAGCAATTTTTTAATGAAAAATCTAAGCGTGAAAATGTAAAAACTCTTTTAGTTTACTTTTTAAATAATTTTTAAACTAAAAAGATTTGAAAAAAGTGTATGAAATAAATGAACTAAAATCTTCTAATGTTTAAAATTGGAAAGATATGTTTTATGATTGATAATGAAAGAGTTTTTGGTATTAGAACTTTGAAAAAATTGTACAATTTTAAAATTATTAATTAAAACGTCGATATTTGATAAATTAAATATGAGCCAATATTGTACTAATACTCTCAGTTTAATTTTCATCGTTACTGTCAACTGCATACAGACTGCCAGTGGCGTGAATGAAATTGACGAATCACCAATTAAAGATACTGAACAATTTCTGTCAGTTAGCTGTTATTCATTTGACAACATTACCAATGGACCCATCGCAAAAGCATATCCACAATTCAAACATAAACATCAAACCGATGGAACGAGTATGGAGAGATGGAACGAGATGGAAAGATTATTGTGAGCAGATCAGCGTACGTTTGTAAGACATTTTTCTGGGGCCATTTCTATTACATTTTGATCATTGCTTGACAAGTCGTAGTATTGGACACCCTATTGTAGTACTTGGAAATTGTTTTAATTGATCTTCCTCGAGTAAATTTGGCTAAATTGCATCGTTCTTGATAAGGTAAAATTAATGTTAAATAATCCTTAAGTTGCTCATGAATTATAACACTCATTCATAAATTTAGATTAACAATGACTATTTTGGATGCCGAATGTGCAGCCATAATTTACACTTTGTCTCGACCTCAATGCAAAGATTTTGCATCTGGCTTAGACATAAAGTATAAAATAAAAAATGGAAAAGAATCTGCTCAAGCGAGAAGGGAAGGCACAGCCCTTAGCATTAAGGAAAAACATACCGACGAAGATCATAAAACGATCCTGTGCTTATATAACAAGAGCATAGCTTATGCTCCCAGGGAATCTAAACAATTGGTGTATGCTTACTGTAATCAATCATATTCATTAATGCATGTTAATAAATTTAATGAGGCCATAGACCGTTTAGATAGAGCCATACAATTGACACGTTCAATCGAATTGAAATTGAAACTATATTGTCAAAAAGCCAAATGTCTCGCTACCCTTGGCTCCTCAGTAAAAGATGATGTATTGAAAGAGATTGATCAGATTTTCGAGGTATCAAACTTACCTGTAGAGTCAGCAAATCCTATATCGAAAATTATTAGGAAAACTAAATCTGAAGTAGCGTCGATGAAGAAATTCAAACCTAAAAATCAAGAGTTCCTGCAGGAAAAACAACGGTACAACAAAATTATTATGGACAGAGAAAATGTTGATCCATTTGATTTTGTTGAAATAAAACAAACGGAAAATATGGGCAGAGGTCTATATGCCAAAACTGATTTTAAAACAGGTGATTTAGTATTAGTAGAAAAACCTTATTTGATTGGGCCAAACTTTTCCAATCGATATGTATTTTGCTCTCACTGTTTATCAGTGGCATGGACTGGAATTCCATGTGAAACATGTCATGATTATATATTTTGTTCTTTAAAATGTAAAAACATGGCCTGGGAAGAGTATCATTGCATTGAATGCTCGATAACACCATATCTTATTCTATGTGACCCAGAAATTACCGTGTTGATTCATACAAGTCTTAAATTTTTAATATCATTAGTAAAAGATAATAAAACGATTCAAGAATTGAAATCCAAACTGAAAATTTCCACAAATGGTCAAGGTGAATACGAATTTTAATTTTAATAATCTGAAATAAGGTTAATTCATGTGATTTTTATTGTAAACTTCACAGTGAAAATGATGAATGACAAATCTGATCAAAAAGTTAATTTATTCAATGAACTGATGAGTTTGTCTTATACCTCATCGTTGTACCAAAATATTATTTTCAGTACCGTTAAAGCATTGATTTGTATGGCGAAGTACACATCTTTTTTTTCTGAAAAAAAATTGAAAAATAGGCAATACGAAAATTTGTCAAAGAACGAAGATTTTCTTTTTTTTGGATCTTTACTTTTGAGATTGGTACATATAGAGATTGTCAATGTTCATGAAGTAAGGATTCAAGTTCATTTTTGTTTAATATACTACATGTTACAATTTAGTTTTTAATTTTTTTATATTTTCCCATTATTAGATATCGGATCCAATTTTTGAACGTAACAATCTCTTAGCTAAAAAAAGCACTAGATGTAGAGGATATTGCTTGGGACTTATCAGTAGTATGACTAATCATAGTTGTGCACCAAACATAAGAAGATGCTTTACAGATGATATGAAACATGTTTTTTATGCCACGGAACCAATTGCAAGTGGAACTGAGGTACCCATTTATAATCATTGTTAAAGTTTTATTATTCAATTGTTCTATAGCTTTTAGATTCATACACTGACTGCTTTTATGAGTCTCCATTGACACTTAGAAGAGAACAACGGAAAAATTTTGTGTGCAAATGCATCGCTTGTGAGCAAGATTGGCCTCCTCTTTTTTCATCATTGGCACAAAAAGCATTCATGGATCATAAAATTAAATTTGAACCAACAACATATTCTGCAGAAACAAATTTTCTAAAAAGAATCTACACATTAGTAGCGAAAATGAATGATCCAAATTATTCTATTGGTAAAGATTTAATGCAAGCTTTGACTGATCTGATGAATGAAATAGCTAGTGTGCTTCCACAACCTAGTTTAGCAAGATGTACGTTACTTCAAGTTCTAGATGAGATTTTTGTTAGATATTATGGTCTTACTGAGCCGTTTGAAAATATTTGTTCAACATTAGTGCCAGTTAGATTGTAAAAAGTCAAAAAGTTTAAATTTTGTTGACTTGAATGATTCAAACTCTGATTTTTTTGACAATAAAAGACACACTTATTAGTAAGTTATATTTTTGCACAATTTTCTTTTTTTTATATTTTATTTATATTTTCTACGAATCAATTAAAATTCATCCAATTATGATTTCTTATTCTTAAACGTCATTTTCGAATCCTTCAACGATGGTTTTATTATTGGCAAAAGATAATTCCAAAATGTTGCACCCATTTGTATGAAAAAATTTGTTAATTTTTGCGTAAAAATTCATGAACTCGTATAGCTTCTGGGACGATGGACCACGCGACCATCGTTCCACAGTAAGTAATTTTTATCACGCATTTAAAATATTCTCGATATCAGATGACTTGCATACAAATAAATAATTCACTAAATAAAGGAAAATCGACAATATAAAGTTATTATTAATATTAAAAAGATTAGTTCCGATTTATTGCGCTTTTTTAATCGAAATTTGAATAATATTCAGGCTTCATTTGATTTCTCATGGCAATCACTTTGCGTATACAAGCTCCGAATAAAAAGAGCATAAATAATTCAAAATTCAGAATTTTATAAGTTCATATCATTATACACGCGTTGTCAATCCTACATATATATATATCGCGATGGATTCTTCTTCAAAGCGTATAGGCAACGGCAGTGGGGAATCTTACGTATATCGTACCATATGTACACACGGCAATGCCGGTGAGCGCGTGTGCATGTATAGACTGCACGCACGGACTATAAATCTTGGCTCGGACGGATGCACCGCCTCCCGTGTCTCGATCTCAGCCAACCGCAAGTCTCCTCGAAAATTTCGTATTACAAAAGGGTGACGCCTTCTCGCGCGCACACAAGCACACACGTATTGTATGTGTAGAGGTACACGTGTACGCGTAACGCGTATGTGAGAATGTGTTTCTCCAAAGTCCAAAGTGAGTATTCCGCACATTTGTGAACATTTAAAAGCCAATTTCAATCAAGTTCACGGGGTCGCACATACACTGTAAATGCAGAAGGGTTTGTAACAGCTAATTTTTCATTTTCTTTTCAGTTTTTTTGAATATGAAAACACGCATAAATATAGGTAAATTATTTAATTTAAAAAAACTCAAATTGATTATGAACCCATGGATGCATAATCAAAGTAATCACGAGCTGAAATTAACTCAACCTCTGCTTCGACCAGAATCATTAAACTTAAAACTTACAACTTCAAATCGAGGAATTTAATTTTCAAGCTTCAAACGCACGTAATGGAGCAGCACAGGTATGCTCAAGCTTTTTTCGTAATCAACCAGCAAACAAGACGGCGACAAAGCTGCGCTAATAATAGCTCTGGAGAGAGAAAAAAATATAAGCAACGCGTTTGTGAATATATATTCCATTTTCTGCTCGACGATAGCCATTTCTGCGTCGATTCTCGCGTGCTCAACTCTCATCCATCGTCGCGGAGCGAGGCAGAGCTATGAAAGCCTCGCGGCGTGCTCGCAGGATTGTAACTTTTCGACTCTCGGCAGTCGTCGGCAGCGGCAGCAACAGCAACGCGTTGCAGCAGTGCTGCACGCACGCGAGCAAGCCGTGCGCGGGCGTTTTTCGATCGTCGCTCAAAGCGCCAACGTCCCTGTCGCACGCGATCATATGGCCAATTCCTATTCGAGGTTAACCAACTTTCCCCTACCGCAATTCTTGACGCGCGACTTGGCCTATGTATGCACAACTTTGATACTTGGCTAAATTTGGCTTCGGGTAGGACCCTTGCCGCGATCGGACCTGCAGCCACGTCAAAAGCCTCTCGCCCTTATCATTATTTGTGCGTATATTGTATACTGTCATTACATTGGTATTTCGCACGCATCGCTCGGCGAGTGACATTGACCGATCTATACTTTCGCTACACGCGAAGCCCCGCATGTACACACACGACGTACATATATATAGCAAGGCATATATCGGCGCTGCAGCGATCAATAATACAGCGCAAAGAGTAAAAAATGTTCAGGCGCGTTTTAAAGTCCTCTCGCGTACACACGATGTATGCATACATAACGTGTACATACTCTATGTAAGTCACCGTGGCGGCTTTTGCAAGAAAGAGCCGATCGGGGTCGCGCGAGGCATATCTTTTGAATATTCATCGATATGGCATGTATATAGCGCGTGTGTACCTATATAGCCGGCGTCGCAGCTCTGCTGCTGCTGCTGGTGCAACATGAATAAGTTACATGCACGAACGAAACTTATGAATACATTATGAGTATCATGCCGCATGCGGCCCACAGGCGAGTTCGCCGCGGCCGTCGTGTGCGTGCGAGGTGCTGCCGCTGTTGCGACTTGCAAATGTGTGCGTCGGAAAAGTTAGCCGGGCTTACGAGGTGGCGCTATGTAAAGTAAACAGCGAGCGGCGTATCTTTATAAGTATTAGCGCATGGCTCGAGCCGCTTATCGTCCAATGTCCATCTCTTTAGTGCAGCCCTGCATGCTTGCCCGAGAAAATCATAGCCGCATTTTCGATTTTGTTGAGTGAAAAGAAACGAGCAAAGTAAAAAGTGAGCCGCTGTATCGATTGTGTTTCCCTTCGTACGTGATATAGGCTGGCAACCGAAAATATTTTCGTTATACAAATAAGTAGCCAGCGAGACTGCAGCAACCCACTTTGTGTATAGGCTAACCCGCGCCGAAGGTGCATGATACATACGTACTATAAAGCTATGTAAATGCACGGCTGAATTTTACAAGCTCCCTGGCGGTCGTGTATCACGAGACTCTTGGCAGGATAATAGCTGCCGAGAGCTGCGAGCGAGAGACGCGCGCTTGCAACACGTCTTGGCATGGGACTCGACGGTGGACCGAGGAGAAGCCGGCCCCGAGTGATTGATAGACGCATGCAGAGAACTGACCCGTACGTTGCACTGCAGAACGGGCTATGCTGTCCCACACACATACACACACAGAAATACCGCACACACGTCCTATGCCCAGGGAGCAGATGGCGGCGTAGAAAAAGGCGAGGAGCGCATTTCGTTGCGTGTGCACACATGCACACATTGTGGCCAACAATTTTGGCCAACGCGAGCGTTTATGGATGTTTATGAAAAGGTCGAGCAAACGAAAAAGAATCGCTCCAACGTTTAGCAATAATTGAATAGGTGTCTTCGAAAGAATATTATTAGGTCTGAGTGACTTACAGTGTCGCATAAGAATTTCGAATTAATCATCGCGTACAACTACTTTGATGAACACTCACTATATTCACTAGAACCATTTGCACTAAAAACGTTTACTTTAAAGATTATACGTTTATTTAACATGGAACATTTTTGAATTTCAAATAAATGAACCCGCACTCTCGCGAAACTTTAAGTTTACGCAAAAAACTCGTATTAACATCGATTTTTCAAAATAACCGTTAAATTAGAATACTCTAAATAAATCACACAATTTACACTCGCGAAACTGTATATTCACTCACCGAATTCGTAATAACATTTATTTTTCAACATAACAGTCAATTTCGACTCTTTCTATTGATCTAGTAGCGTCCAACTCTCACTTATATCTCTTACGCACTTCCTAACGTCTACACTTTTTCGAGTGCATCTTTAAACTAACAATCGTTAGCAACTGTATAATACGACTTTTTTGACCACTGTAAATCTAATGGCAAATTGAAAATGAACAGCAGTTAAGGAAAGACTCATCTTTTCCCGCCTCACCGACTGATCAGCGTTTAGCGAAACTTAACAGTTAACGTTGCTCGTTTTTTTCTGCATTCGAATTTTCAAACGGTCGACCAGTTCTATTCCATCTTTGGTCACTCGAACCTCAATGTGCAGTTTGCAGTCGTTCCCGCTAGAACGTTACGAAGCTATTATCTGCAGTTTTATCAAATTCAAAAGAAATCCGAATAATAATAATTAAAGGTATGTAACGTATATTTTTTTTGTAATTTTTAAATTTATTGGTTTGTTTTCTGTTCTTTTCGTTATAGATTCTTCATCGCCTTTGAGAATTTGTGACCGGGACAATGGCGCCTCGAAAAACAAAACGTTCAATTCAAATTAACGAAGATGAAACGGAGAGCCAAAGCAGTTTATACACAAAAGTATTGACAAATATGGGATTATTGGAGGATATAGCTGATACCTGGGTGAAACATTATGAAACGAGTCATGAAAGTGCCCTGTTAGAATTTCTTCAATTTATGAACGATGCTAGTGGAGGTAAGACTGACATGATGCCAGAGATGCTGACGATGGGAATTAAGCATTTGATAAAAAAAATGGAGGGCGATTTTGATCCAAACAGCAAAGGATATCCACTAATATCCTCAGGGAAGATCTACAAAAAATTTAAGGAAAATTTATCAAAATTCTCACAAGAATTGATTGCACAAAGTGAATATTCTATAATATGCGATGATTATCTAATGGAAAATTTAATATGTGTGCTGATTGAAATGTCTGACTCGCCTGTCAGGGCATTTCGGCATACTGCCACACTTGTAGCTATGAATATAATGACTGCCCTTGCCGATATGGCCTTAACAGTATCCGATAAGATTTACGAAATTGAAGATAAAAAGAAAAATGGATGGAATGGTTCTGTTGATGACACGTTAAAAGGTCTTATAGAAAACTTGAAACTAATTCAAGACATGCTGTTGTTCATGTTTAAGAAAATATTTATACTCAGATTCAGAGATATTTCACCAGCAATACGAATATTATGTATAGGAGAAATAGGAATATGGATGGAAAAAATTCCTGAACAATTTCTCAAAGATGAATATCTTAAATATATTGGATGGACTTTATATGATAGTAATTCTGAAGTACGGTTGAAATGTCTGCAAACGTTACAAATTTTGTATGCTTCTGAAGAATTTAAAAATTCCCTTGATAATTTTACTGGAATATTCAAAGATCGTCTTGTGGCTATGTGCTTAGATATTGATAGTGAAGTCGCTATTCAAGCCATAAAACTTATGAGTGTGATGTATAATTCTACAGATCTACATATTATTTCTGCCATTGATTGTGAACAAATATACACATCAATTTTTTCACCTCATAGAGGTATTGCACAAGCAGCTGGTGCGTTTATGGCCAAGCATATTTTCAATTCAGGAGAAAATTTTCAAGAAATTACAAAAAGTGGAAAAGAATGTTCACCTAACACCCCATATTTGCGAGAACTGATAGACTTTTTAATAGAATCAGAGATTCCTGAAAATGTTGACTATTTGGTTGATTCTTTAATTGATATACATCCCATGCTAGAAGACTGGGAAGCCATGACTGATTTATTATTGGAAGAACCAGTGGAAGACGAAAAACTATTAACATCTTTGCAAAAAACATCTCTAATAGCAATTATGCTTTCTAGTATTGAGCAATTATCAACAGGACAAATTCCAATTGCACGTAAACAAGGAAAACAAAAATTTTCTACTAAAGAAATGAAAAGACTTCAAAATAACAAGCTGAATATTACTAGACATTTTGTTCAAATTTTGCCTGGGCTTTTAGAAAGATTTAATTCAGATACTACGAATTTGGAAAAACTATTAAACATACCTCAGTATTTTGAACTTGAAGTTTATGTTGATTCTACTCAAGAACAAAATCTCAAAGATTTACTAAGATTTATTCATGAAATAGTTGATCGCTATCACAACCCTAATATACTCTATGCGGCAGCAAAAACATTGGATCATTTATGTGACACAGACTTGGAAGAGTTACAATGCTGTAAGCAGGTTCTAGATGTAATAATTAAATTTATAATGGACAGTTATAAAAATACAACTACGGATTTTCAAAAAATTGTTAATTCTGGAAGTCCACCAAGTGAAGATGATATATTTAACATCTGTAAGTCTCTATCAAAAGTGGCAGTTTTTTCTTCCTATTACGATTTGAATGAATTTGATATTTGGGATACATGCTTTGAAAGTATTAGTGATTCAGATCACCAACTTCCAATTGCAGCTATAGTATCTTGTTTCGAAGCTTGCTATTTTTCTCTCATTTGGCTTCTTAACTATCTTACAGAAAATGCAGATTTTGACAATCAAAGTAAAGACAAATATCAGTTATTGAAAGAGAGACTTCGCAATTTTATTTTATGCATGATGTATTATTTGGACAATAAAGAAGGAGAAATTCCCATGATCATGAGAGAAACAGCTTATTGTATGATATGTGATTTACTAATAATATTTGATGAGCGTCTATCGGAAGAAAAAAATTGCTTAATCCATGAGCTGATTTACAAACCAGATAAAGACCTATTAAATTTACTTCTTCAGTTTATTCAAGATACAGTATTTTACACCTCAGAGGAAAGTCCTCAACAGACTGAAGAGTTACGCAAGAAATCTAATATTTTAGCTGGATATTGTAAACTTGTAATGCACAAAATAGCACCAATTCAATCAGCAGCATATATATTCAAAAATTATTTTGATTTTAATGAGCAATTTGGCGATATAATAAAGAAAACCATAAGTTCTGCTCGACGTATAAACAAAACATCTTGTGCATTAGCCATACTAAAAAGTTTAATGATATTGTACCGCGAAAATGTGGTTGAAAATCAAGATGAATCGTCACTAAAAAGTCTCAAAGAAAAAGCCAGAAAATTCGCATTGCTATTTGGGCCCAACATAAGTGACAATAGCGCAGCTATGCTAGATTTTCACAGAGAAGGGATACTCTTTGCTGTTACCTCTTTGGATGAAATCAATGTCTATTCTTCTGAAGTAACACTCAATCTTCCATTCTTTGATATTTTGCATGAATTTGTCGTAAAAGTACCGAAAACAACTAAAAAATCAATATTACAATTTCTGGACGCACACTTGAAAGTAGGAAAAGGAAAGGAATTCAAGTCTATGCAACGTTACAGAAATAGTTTATTATAGTGCTGGAATAATCCAAGGTACTCCTTCACTTTTATATTATTTATATTAAATTAATCTGAGATCTTGATCAATTTTAAATCATTGTAATTTTCTTAACTACGTAATGTTTTTGTACGTATTTTAAAAAATTGTATACTTCAAGGGATGAAATTATTGTTAGCATTTACAAAGCAGATGAATAAACAACTATATTTTTCGAATATTTTTTATGCGTGTGTTGGCACTGGCGAAGATAATTTAAAAATTCAAGTTGGACGCGTGCAAAAATCCACCACCCGCTCAAGCTCGAAATTCAGTTGTGGGTATGTTGTGTTGTATGCGGAGTAATTGGCTCTCGACGTTCCCCTCCGATAATGAGCCCTTTCGCGCGTGCTCGTGCGCACATACAGATACAAGTTTTGCAAACGCACGACGCCACATAATGGTCCATCTCTCTTTCTCTCTCTCTCTCTCTCTCGCTCGCTCACTCTTGGGCCTTTTTTTGCCTTTAGCCGCGTACGTATATAACGTATTCGGGCCCCCCGAAGCATACGACTCGGCTCTCGATTCTTTCTCTGTGTGGAGAGTAATTGGGTATAATATCGGGGCTCGGGGGATTTGTAATTGCACGCGAAACCTTTTTCGGCGCTTGCATATATATATACACAGAGTCTCGCGCGCATATACACAGCACCCAGAGCTCGAGAGCAGCAGAGAGCAAGAGAGACGAGCTTTCGAAGAAAAAAGGCTAATGTCTCGTGCGCGCGGCCGCCGCCGCTGCTTCGCTCACGTTCTGTATTATTACGCACGCGAGTATCTTTCTTTCTAGGACCCCGAGGGCCTCTTCTTCTTCTTCTCTCTGACCGACTCGGGCTTTTCGAATATCTCTCTCTCTCTCTCTCTCTCTCTTTCTCGCTCTCAGTTGTGCACGAGAGCAGGCGCGAGATTCGGCGCGACACAAGTCTGCGTGCTTGAATTTTTTTCTCTTTCCTCTTCCCTCTCCCTTGGCTTGTTCATTTTGGCAAGGATGTCTCAAGGTAGGTCTGTTGGGATACTTTGTAGCGCGAGCCAAAAACACGGGCATTGACAATAAAGTTCTCATACATCGTGTACTCTTGTACACGTATGTGCGGCTTTTTTTCGGGAAATATAGCGTGATGCGGTTTACTTACGTGGGTATAGCTTATTTGTTATTTAAACGAGAGTAGCAGCAGCAGCAGCTTTAAGAACTTCATTGGACGCGGCAGCGCTGAACAATTGTAATGTTCCTCGTAATTGTGGAAAAATACCCTATACGCGTCTTGCCGGGGCTTACGAACGCTCGAGAATCGTAAAAATCAACGTTATTGTGAGTTTTTTGAGAAAATGTCGGGGTAAATAACACAGTAGACATAATACAAATTACAATGTAAGACGTAAATAAAGCGGCGCGAGCTATGTACTTCAATTATCTGAAAATATACATTAAATAATACACAAGCTGACAGAACTGATGGTAACGATTGACTATAATATATATTTCAAAGATAATATAATGAAGAGTTTGTTGCTTCTTTAACACCCGATAATACGGCGGCGATTTCCCGTTGTATACTTGACTTTTTTCAATTAGCTATGGGGCCAAATTGTATGTATTTTAAGAGCGAAAAGCTCGGCATTAGCGCCGAGTTACTGTAATTACGTATAAATACGATTTTTGTTGGCTTTTTCACCAGCTTAGCGTTTGTGGGCATTTAGCCCGCGAGTCGCTCGTTATTTTCCGGCTTATACGTCTGCCTGTGTGTGTGTGCGTGCATCAGAAAAAGAGTATACCATTGGAACGATTTCGGCCTGGTTGCGCAATGACGGTGATTTAGAAGTTGGAAATTGAGTTGTTTGCACCTTCGTCGGATAATTCGAGGTAAAATTGAACGTTTTGCGGCGCAGACGCGCGCGCGTGTGCGATCGTTTCTCGCGCACGACGTTGAAAAAGTGCGATTTTTGCAGAAGGCGCAGTTGCATACGAACCAAAACGCGCGTCTACTTACCTATACTACCTATATATATTACAAGAGCTCGGCTGGAGCGCGCGCGTGCCGACGGATTGTTTACAGCCGCGTGCACAAAAGCGGCCTGTGCACTGCTGCTGTGCAATCCGTCGGAACTCGAAGCGGCTTCGCGTGCATGTGCCGCACGGCATGCAAGGATTTAGGTGTACACACACCGCAACCGATCGTGAATTAGTAAAATGAATCACTTGGCTCTGTTTGGTTCGATGCATATAATACCTAGTCCCGCGGCCCACGCGCATGACGAACGAGCGACAAGTAGATTAAGGGAGCTGGCTGGAGTGTTTAGGGCAGCTTTTTCGATAATTAAGTCGATCTGTTTCTCTGAAATATCGCGCTTATCCGACGGAAACTGCTTCGAGGCCGAGCTCGGCCATTCGATTTTCATTCTCTTGATTAATTAATTCGTTAACAATTTACTGAAAAATGCCTTACGGCTCGCCGCCGCCGCCGCTGCTGCTTTTACAGTGCGATGCTTGCGCAATTATTAATGTCGCGTACACTTTACGACTACAACCCACACATGCACACACAGAGCACAAGAGTCGGGCGCGGTAACGAGCCTTTAAACGTAATAATGATATTATATATTTATCCACTACATTTATCCAATTAACGAAGCTCGCTCGTTTTGCGCCACGCATGCACACACGCATGAAAAATAATTTATAACGCGTACTTTATTCGCTCGACGAGTGCAATCAATCTCGCGACGAACGTGTGTGTACCGATCTCCTTATAATGCGTACATTTATTTACAGAGTCGCGATTCTCGTGTACTGAAATCTCGAGCTCTGCAAAAATCTTGGATCTAGCACACGACGCGGGCTAGTCGAAATCGGAAGTGGAAGATGTATACAATATAGAAGTAATATTAATGGCTAGGTGCGTGGCGCGCGGCATCAATCGCACGTGGCCTCTTGACCCTCGAGTCGGCAGATGGGTCGGCGGCGTGTGCGGAATTAGCACACAGTCGGGATTCCTGGCGCCGTCCTTGCGCCGCGCTATATTATTAAAAATATATATCCGCATCTGCTGACGCTGACGCGCACATGGAAATGCGGTGGTCCGCCGGCTCTAATGCCTAATATGTAATTATAAACGAAGAAAGAAGCGGCTCGGCTTTGGTTACGTGCTCGAAAATTTAACACTTTGCCTCGATGTATTGCTATCATGCCTAAACTCGTTTGACAGATGTATACATAATAATCATGACAATTGTCCGTTGAACAAATTGAAAAATTCGATCGATTGTCATCGGGAAAAGAGTCGAGAAACGGTAGCTAATTCCTCGACGTGCGAGCGGTCGTGTGCCTATACTTGCCGCGTGTACGTGCTGTATACAAGACTATCAAAACGATTTATCACACTCTAATTATAACGATAATGACGACGATCATGATATAACAATGATGAGGCCGCTTACCTCACAGCAATTTCATACACGCGTTCGCGCGCGCGCGCGCCTCTGTAAACATGTCAAAATTTTGAAGCTTTCGTCTCTCGTGCAATTACATATTGTATAGGTCGACGATTGTTTGCATCGCTTTTCGAGAAAAACAAATAGGTGAGCTACTGGATTACTCGTGCACCACAGCTATATACAGCGGGGTTAATTGTATCGCAGCTCTCTGTATTTAAAATAACGCACAATACCGGTAGCCCCCGCTTATAAAGCGATTATGACGCTGGCCAAACGGAGCAGCCGTATTTAATCCTCGCTACTATAAAACGCAACGTTGGCCAGGACAAAAAAAAACGCAGAGGAGTGTAACAGCAGCCCGCGGTAGCGGCTAAAAATTTCCTCGCCGATATATTCGCGGCCGAGGCTCGCGATAACTAGACCGGATCCTTATCTCTCGGGCTATATGCACGTCCACGTATATATGCAAGAGCTCCGACGGTAAATTCAGCCTGAAGCAGCAGCAGCAGCAGCCTTATAACTTGGCTGCGCGCACAAAAGGAGTATATACCTGGGCCACGCCCATCGCTCCTCGTTTTTTGTTTTTTTTTTCGTTTTACTTCGTCCTGCTTGGCTTTCGTTTATACATATTTACCTCGTTTTTTTTCATCTTCTATTTCAACTGTGCGCTCGGCACGTTGAGCCGGGAGCAAAAAAAGGCAGCTCATGAGCGTTGCGCGCAGAGCTCGAGAACTGCCACGCATCAATAACAGCAGCAGCAGCAGCACATCACGATATTTCGTGATTCCGATATTTTTTTCGTCTGCTCTACCCTTCGAGCGTTTTTACACACTTATGCGCGTGTATATGCGGGAGAGAGATCGCCTATATATATATATATATCGTGTCTAGTATAGCGAAGGTCGAATTAATTTTAGTACGAGAGTGTAATTTTCTGTTGGAGGAAAATACATAGCCTCCAGAGGGCTGCAGGTATGTGAAAATGTCGACTTTTTGCTAGTTAACGAATCACGCGATATACGTCTGCAGATATTGCCTTACGTAATACGCATTCTGCGCCAGCTCGTCGCGTATAAAACTCGAAAGTCTCGTGCGAAAACGAATTCGGCTTCCTCCCCCCCCCNNNCCCCGAGAGAGAGGGAGACGAAGAATGTCTCGAAAACGCGCCGAGGAATCTAGAAGTCAGACGTCGTACCCCTGAGCTACGAATGTCGTCGGAAAGAGGAAGCCCCGAGACTCGGTAGTATAGGTAGGTAGTAGCCATGATGTTTTTCGGGTGCTGCACCGGCTAAAGGAGATGGACAAAAAATATATGTGCGCATGCCTTTTTGTGCAGGAGCATTCGGAGCTGTGCGCGCGCGCGTTGGCGGCGGCAGCGGCAGCCGTCAATTAAAATATATGCATCCGCCCCTCGAGGCTGTGTTTCGGTACCCCAGCGTCTACCGTTCGCATATTTTTCATCGAAATTTATCGTTATGCACTTTTCGTTTTATTTCATTTTAATCCCTTATCCGTATCTGCGGCGCGTCGGCAGATTTTCTCAGGTGATA